GGTTGTTTGCTACATGTCAGCAGCTGACTAGCACACTCACATACTCACTTTCCTGGGGATCCAGACAGCTAGGTTGGCACAGGACATGGACTAGGCCAATAGGATGTTTCCACTCAGGAAAAAGTGATGCAAAGAAACAGCATCAAGGCAGGAGTATCCAGTTTCCAGGGACAGCTATGGCCGAGTGCCAAGGGCAGATGACTGCCAGTCGAGACATCTGGATTCTGTGGTGGTGGCAGAAGCGTCCTCACCAGTCAGTCCCCTGACCTGATTTCAGCTGATCACCCCAGCTGCCTTGCCACCTTGATTCTTACTGTTTTCTGAGCCTGATTTTCCAGTCTTCCTGCCACTTCTGTGAGCAACCCAACAGCCCTCCAAAGCACATCTTTGCTATTGAAATCGGCCCGTTTCTGTTGTTTGTTAATAAAATCCCTGACTTACATAAGACTGGGAAATCCCAGCATCTGTTACCTTTACATTATAATTTTGTTAAGTGTTTGGGTTGCAAATAACAGAATAGCTGGCCACTAGCATCTAAGATACTAAGACTCCTGAGCAGTACAGACATTGTGACTCTCAGGAAAAGGAGTCTAGAGATCAGAGGTTCCAGGGTAGAACTGGTGGCCTCATGATTTCAGGGCTCTCGGAGGCAGCCTCTCTGTGCTTCTCTTAACTTGCTCCTCATGGCCACAAGAGGGCTGCAGCAACTCCTGCATGTGTCCTCATAGGAAGCATGAAGGGATTGAAGGGGGCAATAAGGCCTTTTCCATGACCACAAACCCCCACCTCAGACCTTCCCTTAAAGCTTGGCCAGAGCTGGGAGATTTGCCCAGGCTGAAAATAATGCCCACAAAAGGCATTACCAATAAATAAATAAATAAATTTTTAAAAAGCCGAGCCAATCCTAAATTACCCCCCACCCAAGGCTGGGCACACTGCTGCTGGGGTCAAGGCCCTATGGGTGAGGAGGGAGAAATGGCTGCCGGAATAGCAACAGGTCAGCCACAGAAATTAAGCTGAGGTCTTTCCTTAAAAAAAAAATGTTTTTATTGATTTTAGAGAAAAACATCGATGTGAGAAACATTAATCAGTTGCCTCTCCCCTGCACTCTGACCAGGGATAGAACCCACAATCTGGGCATGGGCCCAGAGGTAAGCTGAGGTCTTATTGTGTGGGGAGCACGGTCTCGTGGACCATCTGCCCTTGGGGTCCACGGGTAGCGCCCACAGACACTAGAAGTGGATGAGGCTCCGCTCCCACCTCCCCACCCAGAACTTCTCATCTGTGTAACAAACATTCCTGGCCGTGCCTCCTGGGACACACGGCCAGGTGCCCCTAATAAAACCCGTGCGCGGAGACTCCACCATGAGAAGGGAAATCTCTGGGGCCGTGAGAACAGAGGAGCTGGAGCTGCATTCCAGGACACAAAGCCAGGGGCAGACTTCCAAACTGGCCAGGTCTGGGGCAGATTCCCACCTCACACGGCTCCCCCGAGGCCCCTTTGGCCCTTGCTGGCTGAAAGGCCCCAGAAGTCACACTTGGCCTGCCTCTCACGGGCCTGCATCCCACGGTCCCTGGAGACAGTGTTTTCCCACAACCCCAGCCCAGGTGCAGAGGGAGGCTCCAGGAGCCCGAGGTGGGGAAGCAGGCCATCTGGAAGGAGACGGGCTTTCCCCGCGCTTGGTCCTCACGCACAGGGGATGCTGCCCTGGGTGAAAGGTGAAAAGAAGTGATAAGGTGATGGGCTGAAGACTCTTTCAGAGTGATAGGCTGCAGACTCCTTCAGGGAGCCACACAGAAAGGGCCAGGCTGGCCCACAGGCATGTGCACAAGCTATTTGTTCAACTGTGTATGAGCAAGCACGTGTGTGCAGGTATGCCTGAGTAAGCAAGTGTGTGTGTGTGTGTGTGTGTGTGTGTGTGTGTGTGCGCGTGTGTGTATGTGTGTGTGTGCAAGCAAGCCTCTGTGTATGGGTACACATGTTCTGCCTTTCTCCAAAGGACACAAACATTCACAAAGTTTCAAGCCAGTTTCTGCTAAATTAAAAACAGCTTTTTCGTGTTTAAAGTTTACAATACAAAAAATAATTTTCCTTTCTTCGGGGGGGGGGGGGAGCGGGGGTGAATGAGAAGGAGGGGTAGAGGGCCCCTGAGAACATTCCACGAACCAGCCCAGACGGTTACGCACAATCGACTGGTTAGATACGGCAGCACCCCCTCCACCCTGCACCGGCACCCCTGCCAGCTCATTGGGGACAAGATGTTCTGAGGTGTGAGCTGATCTGGGGGAACTTGTAGCTGGCAAAGGCTTCTCACTGCCCCCTGAAGGGGCCATGCCTCTAGCAGAAAAGGGTTCTCTTGGGGGAGCTCAGGTTAGGGAGGTGAGAAGAGGCCAGAATGTTCTGGTAAGTCCCCAAGGACTACTGCTTTCCTTTCCATGCCCCTGAAAGCATGGCTCCTTCCTGGTTCCCAACCAAGTTCCTATTTCAGCACTGCCTCCCAACTCAGCCTCACCCTGGGGGCCCCGTGCCTGCCTGCGGGACGGGAGCACCAGGCCTGTGCTATGTTTTGAGGGCAACCTGGAAGCCTTCCCTCTCAGAAGGCTGTACATGAACAAGAAGGCCGACTCTACCAAAGCACAGCCCCAGTCAGTGAGGCTGCCACCAAAGCAAGGCCTGGGGCAGCTCGTGGGGCTCCTGGGCCCCTGTGGAAGCGTAATGACTTCATGCTTTCTTTAGGCCTGCCCTTCCTCTCCTGCATTTCAGCCCAGAGCTACCCGATCTTGCACCCCAGAATTGAGCAGATGGAGACAGAACCTGTTAGGACTGAAGGCTGGTTGGTGGCAGGGGGCCAGACCACCAGGCCCACAGAACAGCCTGGAGAGTTGCCGGAGGCCACGAAGTTTGCCCTCTGTCTTCCCAGCATCCAGGAGAAGAATCGGCCCCACTTCCTGCTGCCCTCACTCACATCCCTGAGCTAAAGACTGGACCCTTTCCAGCTCCTCTGCGAGGATGGGAAAGGGTGAGGTGGGAGAGGGGGCCCCAAAGGCACAGAGGACAGGAGGAATCTGTGACCTATCAGGCTCCACAAACTCGGCACTGGGCCTGCTCCATCTTTTCACCATAACATTTTTATTAAATACAAGGAAAATATTAGGAGACGACGTCTGCGAAGGTATGAGGTTAATTCTTTACACAGCGAGTGGGTCACAGAAACATGACATCAATCGTCTGTTAGCAGCAGAAGAGACACTTTAAGTTGCCCCAAGGGTATAAATCCCATTTATAAGGCAGCGGTGCTGGCCTCTTAAAAAAAAAAAAAAAAAAAAAAGCAAAATGGAACAACAGTAAAAAGATTTAGAGACCAAAACAAATGTGGCTGGAGATGCCATGAAGCCCTTGAAGAGAGAGGCTCCTGCCTACTGACTGCCAGCTGGTAGCCTCGGGCCAGGGGGCACTTCATTCCCCCTGAACACAGGGCACAGAGGGAGTGCAGCTGGAGAGTGGATGCAGTGAAAATCCTGAACGGACCTGTGGAGCGCAGATGCACTGGGATCCTAAAGCAGCATCCTCCTCCATCTGTGGGACAGGGACATATCAGCCCAGTTCTCCTTAGGGGCCCCCACGTGGCTCAGTGCCCAGTGGAGGCCCGACATCCATGAGGACCAGCCCTGGAAGCTGTGGTTTCTCCTCCTGAAAACACCCTGAGGTGGTCAGACCACGGACAGGAAGAGGAACAAACACTGAGCCCTCCTGGGCGGCCCTCTCCCACTCAGCAGCTTAGGCTGCTGGGGAGACAGAACTGTCCTCTGGTCATCAATCCAAGTTGGGTGCTTCTGAGCCCCTCCAGCTCCAGAGAAGTGGGGTGCAGTTATATATAATGATAAAAGCGTAATATGCAAATCAACCGAATAGCAGAACGACAGTCCGGGTGACCTTCTGGACGACCGTGCTATGACACGCACTGGTGCCAGGCCAGCCAAGACGGGTGCAACGTGATTGGTCGGGGGGGGGGGGGGGGAGCCTCCCATCGCCCCGTAGAGGGAGGCCCAGCCCAGCTAAGTAATCGCACTCCATGCTTGCCGCCTGCAGAGGGAGACAGGGAGGGGGGCAGCGCCACAGATGGCAAGTAGTGACAGTGGCGGGGGCAGGCCAGCTGCTGGCAGCCAGGGGAAGGAAAGCCCCATAGGCCCTGAGCACAGGGCATAGGCACAGCTGAGGGACACTCCCCTTCATGCACTGGGCCTCTAGTTTAAAAATACATGTGTGTGCCCTGGCCAGAATTGCTCAGTGGTTAGAGAATCAGCCCATGCACCAAAAGGTTGTGGTTTCGGTTCCTGGTTAAGGGCACAAACCTGGATTGCAGGTTCGTTCCCTAGCCCTGGTTGGGGGTGCATGCACAAAACAAAAAACAATCGATATGTCTCACAACAATGTTTCTCCCTCTCTCTCTCTCTTCCCTCCTTCCCACTCTCTAAAAATCAATGGAAAAAATATCCTTGGGTGAGGATTAACAAAAACAAGCAAAGTACACATGCACAAGAAACTTGGGCAAGAAACTTGGGATGGAGAGAGTGGCATAGTATGGATTTGGATTGACATTAATGAGCCTGCATTTGAACATCGGAGACTGCTGGGCTGAGGGATGGGAGAAGTGGGGCATAACAATACCCCAAAGAGACCCACTATTCCAACCCATGAGTGAGGACCCTGTGCAGATGAGGAAACTGCCTCAGGCTCAAGTTTTCTGCCACAACACATGGGCCTCCTCAATGGGAGGCTCCCTGGGCAGGCAGAGAGCCATGATCTGCTTTGGGAAGAGAGGACCCTAGGAAGGAGTCTTATCAACACAACGGGACTATACAGCCAGCCCACAGGGAGGGGGCCCAAGGATCTCTATGGGACACGTGCTCCCCAAACCCCTGGCAAGAACAGCATGCAGCTAGGTCGTGTGGGTGTGTGTGGGGGGGGGAGAGGGGGCGGGGGCAGGGCATCCCGGGAGCTACCTCCTGCTTCCAGCCCGGGGCAGCAGGACCGGGGCACAGGCAATGCCTGCAAAAGACTCAGGAAAGTGCAGGTCACGTTCCCACTCGTCCGTCTCGGTGTTGTATACCTGCACGATGCCTGTCACATTGTTGAGGCGCCAGTTATAGCCCCCAACAACATAAATTTTTCTGTCCAGCAGGCAGCAGCCAGCCTCCGACTGGCCGGCCCTCATGGGGCTCACGCTTGTCCACTGGTCTGTTTCGGGTACATAGTACTCTACGGCTAGCACGTCAAAGCAGCGGTCCATATGGTCCATGCGGCCACCCAGGGCGTAAATGCGGCCGCCAGCACCCACCATGGCATGCAACACACGGGGTTCGCTCATGGGTGCCTTGAACTCCCACTGGTCGACTGCCGGGTCATAGCAGTGCAGCGCCTTCTTGTCCTCCACCGAGATGCCGTAGCCGCCTGAGATGTAGAGGCGGCCCCCGGCCGAGGCGCCTGCGTGGCCCCAGGTGCGGCGCTTCAACGAGCAGGCGTAGCCCCACTCGTTGCGCCGTGGGCAGTATCTCTCAACGGAAGCCAGACTGCCGGCCCGGTTGCGGCCACCCGTGGCATAGACCATGCCGCACAGCACGTTCAGCTGGAACTGGATGCGGCTCTCCTGCATGGCCTGCAGGCGCAGCCATCGGTTCAGGTGAGGGTCGTAGCGGTAGCAGGCGTCCACCGCACCCTCACCGCTGCGGTACTGCAGGTGCTGGCCCCCGGCCACGTACACGAAGTTGTCCAGCACGGCCACACACGTGTGGCTGCAGGCCACCTCCATCTCCGTGAGCTCGCGGAAGTGGCAGGCTCCTGGCTCAGGCAGCTGGTATACTTTGCTACTGACGGCATGGTCACTGTCGGTGTAGGGCGTGCCCCCAAAGGCCACCAGCGAGGGCACATCGGAGCGCACAATGGTGCGCGGGGACTGCATCTCGTGCTGCCGGAAAGGCAGCACCTGGTAGTTGAAGGCCTCCAGCAGGTACTGGCGGCACAGCACGTCCTCCACCATGAGGTCCAGCGTCTGCACACTGTCCACCAAGTCAGACGAGTGCATGAGTGGGAAACGGATATGGCAGAGCACATGGCTGGCGCGTGGCCGCCGCGCAGGGTCATGCTGCAGCCAGCGGACAGCGGCTCGGAACAGGTCGATCTCGGCACAGCTCTGCAGGCGGTTGCTCTGCAGGAAGAAGACGAGGCGCTCCAGAGGCAGCTGCAGGAAATCGTCTTCCGCAGCGATCTGCAAGAAATGCCGGAAGGTGAAGGCATCCACCGACTCTTTGAGTGAGGCCAGGCTGAAGGTGGTGGCCATGTGACCAATGTGCAGGCAGGTCTCCACGCTCATGGCAGCCTTGAGGAACTCCTCACACAGCTCCACCACTGGGAGCATCTGCAGGAACACGGCCGCGCCCAGCACATCCTGCACACAGTCCAGGTCCAGCGTCACCTCGGCACTGTAGGCAAAGTCAATGATGTGCCGCAGGCCACGTGCTGACAAGCCCTTCAGTTCAATGATGTCCTGGTTTGCCTCCCTCATGCCGCCTGTGAACATGGCCCTGAGGGTCAGAAACACAGCATGAGGGTTCAGGGCACCAAAAGACATGGGGATGGCCTGGCCCCGAACACTGCAAGCGGGGCTTTGCCCACCAGGGGAAAGCAGGCCAGGTATGCATTAAAAACACGCAAAAAATAAAAGGTTTTCAATCCACCCCAAGCCATGCATCTTCCTACCAAGAGCACCCTGTGCCTCTCTCATGGGGTCCCACCCAACCTCACCCCGATGTATACAGCACTGGGGTAGGCTGGTTCTGAGGCTGGGGGCCAACTCCCTCCCTCCCTCCTTCTCCCTGACCCCACTCATGGCATGGCAATGCCTGTGCTCCTGCCACATTAAACTTTAGCTTTGGCTCTGGGGGAAAGTTTCCAACCCATATCAGTTGCCATGAAGACCAGTTTCTCAGTGAGCTCAGGAAATACAGCGGGGACTCCAAGGGAATACATATCATGGTTCACAGAGGCCAGTACCTCTCCAGCACACTCACCTGAACAGGTGGCTCCACCTTCCCCTGCCCAAATCTCAGCTGCTGTCACACAGGGATGGGAAGGGGATAAGGGTCTCAGGTTGGAGTGCCTATTGGGGCCCCCCACTGGGGTCACTGATATGTTCAGAGAAAAGTCCAGGTAGTCAGGGAGCCCCTGAAAATGACCCACCGGAGTCTCAGCCTGCTGTAAGACACCCCTACACGCTCCTCCTGTCAGCTGGGCTGTCCGACTCTGGAGCACAGGACCTGGGTCTCAGCCCTTCCTTCCCCACAGCTTTCAGGAGGGGCCCTTCCAGGAAAAGGGGTAAGAATCCCAGGGCCTGCTAGAAGTGGATGGGAGGTTCTAAAAGATGTTGCATAAGAGGCTCCTCTCAGAGGGTGAACTGGTCTTTCATCGTAATTGTGACTGCCATCAGCATACATCATAAACATAACGGATGACTGATGGAAGGGAACTCCCGTTGACCATTCGCCTAACGAATGCTTGTCACCCAGTCACTACGCTAGTATGGGCCAGGCTTAGGCCCCAGAGCGGGAGCAGCTGAGCTTGATGCTGCCTTGGGACCATCAACGAACAACTGCCCAGCACTCCACAAAGCAGGGCCATATCGCTTCCCGGAGCAGCGCTCTGCCAGCCCCCGGGCCCTACCCCTTCTTGTCCCCGAGAGTCCCATCGGCCGGTCGAAGGCAGAAACAGTCATTGCGACGGGAGGGAGCTTTGCCTTTTAAGGCCTTGCCGCTGCAGTGCCAGCGCAAAGGAGCCTTTAAAGGGCATTTCTGGCTGGGGCGGCCTGTCCGTCCCCAAATCCAGAATAAAAATAGAAGCAGCGCCCCAGATGGCTTGGTTTCTCCAGCTCCCCAGAAGGGCCTCATTGAGCCCGCAGGGCGGGCGGACGGGGGCACGCTGGGCTGGACACCTAGCCTCGGAGCGTGCAGCCTGCGGCAGGCACCTGGGCTGGGACTCTGACACGGCCACAGGAGCGCCGCAGGCACCGCTGACAAAGCAGGGCCAGAGAATCGCCCCCCGGCTGACACTCTTCGGAAAGGGTCTTCGCAGCAGACTGACCCAGACGCTCATCAAGGTCTCGCCTGTCACATGGGGATTGCAACAGAGCCTGGCAAACTAGGGGCCACTGCCTGGGAGTCCCTCCTGCCCTTTGGCCTGAGTACAGGCATCACAAGGGCAGGGACATGTGCCATTCCCTGCTGGAGTCTGAGGCCAGCTCCCACAGGTGTCAAAGACACAGTAGAAACCTGTCCAAGCCCTGCCACCCCTCAGGACAGAAGCTGCTAATTGAGTGCCCACAGGCCACTCTGTCCCCCATGTATGTTCTACTGGGCAGTGTAATGTCCCTAAAAAGTCTGAGTGGTTGCAAACCTGGGAAAAGTGGTAGGTTTACTGAATGTTGGCCCAACACCAGCCATCTTCCCTCAATGCCATCTCTCCCTAGCTAGAGTTGAACTTGCCCCTCTCAGAAGAATCTGCACTCTCCAGCCCACCCCCCGGGCCTGTGTTCACCTGAAGTAGTCGCTGCAGGCAGCCAGGACCACCTTGTGCGCGTGGAAGGTCTCCCTGTTGACTGTGAGCACAACGTCCAGGAGCTGGCCCTGTGATCGGAGTGTGGCCAGGCCCTGCAGGAGGCTGGTGCTATGGCAGGGTGCAGAGAAGGTGCACTTGAGAGCTCCATTCTTATCAGCCATGCTGTGGGAGAACAGGGTGGGTGTCAGGCTCAGAGGCCTCAGGGCCTCATCCGGGGGGTCCTGGGCAGCTTGCCCAGGCTCTGAAGCTGCCCCAGGCATGGGCTAAATCACCAGAATCCACCCCAGAGAAGTAGAAACAAGACCTGGGTCCTGACTGCCACCTGCCCTTGGCAGTAGAGTAGAAACCTGGCCAAGCCCTGCCACCACTCAGGCCAGAAACTGCCATTTGCTACCTATGATATGGGCAGGGTTTCGGACAGGATCTGAGGAAACCACATGTCCTTCTTTTTAAAAAATATATATTTCTACTGATTTCAGAGAGGAAGGGAGAGGAGAGATAGAAACATCAATGAGAGAGAATCATTGATTGGCTGTCTCCTGCATGCTGTCTCCAACATTTACTGAATGTTGGCCCTTCTGGGGATCGAGCCTACAATCCAGGCATGTGCCCTGACCAGGAATAGAGCCATGATCTCCTGGTCAACATTCCACCACTGAGCTACACTAGCCAGGCACCTGCCCTTTTCTCTTTTTTTTCATTTAAGTCATATTCACATAGCATACAGTTCACCATTTGACGTGTACAATTCAGTGGCATTTAGTATATTCACAATATTGTGCAACTACCATCTCTATCTAGTTCTAGAACATTTTCATCATCCCAGAAAGAAACCCCATCTCCATTAGCAGTCACTCCTATCCCCGCTTCACTCATCCCCCTTTCCCATCCCCTGTCAACCACTAATCCACTTTCTGGATTAGTTTGCCTGCTCTGGACATTTCATATAAATTGAATCAGACAACAAGTAGTATTTTGTGGTTTCTGTGTCTGGCTTTTCTCACTCAGTATCATGTTTCAAGGTTCATACATTGTAGCATGTATCAGAGATTCACTCCTTTTTATGGCCGAGTACTATTCTACCGTGTGAATGTATGAATGCACAATTTCTTTATCCCTTCAACTACCTATGGACATTTGGGTTGCTTCCAACCTCTCCTTTTAAAAACTCTATTCCCTTATTTTTTATTCTAAACATGTCTCCTGAATGCTGCACTGAGTGACCACTGTCCCCTAAGCCCCAGCAAGCTGCCCCCATGGGTACACTTATCTCTCCTCTAGAGAGGGTGGGATTAAGACGCTGAGTGCTGGCACAGAGCCCATTGTGAGAATGGAGGAGGAACTTGACCTGCAACTTCTCAGGAGTGCTAGGCCCTGAGAACACGGGTGCTGCCGGCCAGCCTCTCACGGAAGGGTGGGGGAGGGGGGGCGAGAAACAGGATGCCACCTCCAGAGGGGCCCAGCTGCTTTGATACCTGCCCAGCATACCTCTTGTGCCCAGCACTACGGGGAAGGGCAGCCACATGACCACAATGTCACCCTGGCCGTTTTCAGAAGAATTTGGCTGCGGACTACACTCTTTGGCTGCCCAATCAAAGGGAAAGGTCCCCTCAGTCCCATCTTCTAGGGACAGAAGCAGGCTGAGCAGCTTATCCATCGTCTCAGAGCTGTGAGAGGATAGAGCAGAATCTGAACCTGTTCAGGGAAGCAGCAGGCCGCATGGAATCTTCCTGTCACCTCCAGGCCAATGCAGGATAAACAGCAAATTGTGGGGAAGCCACAAAACCAAGAATATCTGCTGTAAGAAGATGGATTTACCTATGGAGGCAGCTGCTGGGGGGATGGGGACAAGAGATTCCTGTACCTCCAAATGAGGATTCAGAAGGCAAAGACCATTTTAGAAAAAAAAAATTTTTAAGTTTTAAAAAGGAAAGTGGTGGAAATAACCCAAATACCCATCAACAAATGAGTAGATAAAATGTGGTATGTGCACACAATTGAATATTAAGAAGGAATGAAGCTGATTCACGCTACAATGTCGACAAAGATGAAAAATATGATGTTCAATGAAAGAAGCCAGTCACAAAAGCCCACATGTTGTATGATCACATTTATATGAAATGTCCAAAACAGGCAAATTCATAGAGACAGAAACCAGATTAGGGGCTGTCCGGGGATGGTAAGGGGAAATGCGGAATGACTGCTAATGGGAACAGGGTTCCCTTTGGGGAGATAAAGTATTCTGGAACTTGATGGAGGTGGTGGTTACACAACATTGAAATATACTAAATGCTACTGAATTGTTCACTTTAAAATAATGGTTTTTATATTATGTGAATTTCACCTCAAAAACAAACAACAGCCCTGGCTGGTTTGGCTCGGTGGATAGAGTGTCGGCCTGTGGACTGAAGGATCCCAAGTTTAATTCTGGTCAGGGGTATATGCCTGGGTTGGGGGCTCAATCCCCAGTAGGGGGCCTCCAGGAGGCAGCCGATCAGTGATTCTCTCTCATCATTGATGTTTCTGTCTCTCCCTCTCCCTTCCTCTCTGAAATCAATACAAATATATTCAAACTAACAAACAACAATCGCAAAACAGAATTAAAGGGCATCTGAACCTTCTCAGGTCCTACCTAAAACCTTGCATGAAACCCAGCTCCTCAGAGTATATGAGGGGGCCCTCCATTGCCTCCCCCGCTGACACCCCCACCCCTACCCCAGCCTCCCCTGCATGTCCCCTTTGCTGCTTCATCTCAGAAAACTTTAGTAGAATGTGTCGGTGAATGAATGGTTTGGAGGCACCAATACATCACTTCATCCTCCAGACACAGCAGGAGCAGACAATGCCATCACCTCCAGGTCAGGCCTCAGTGCTACCATAACCCAGGACTTCCCCAGCCCAGGTCCACCCTACCATCCCAGCCTCAGGCTCTCTGAAATTTGCTTTCCCATTCCTGGGACTGACACCTGCCCACAAGTGAGGGTCTGAAATGTAGGCACCAGTCTTCAAAAAAAAAAAAGAAGCAGGAGAGGAAAGAAGGCCTTGGGCCCCATTGTCAACCAGCTCCCAAAGCTCTCCAGGGGGGAAAGGGACTGACGCCAAGCACAGGGCATGTAATTGTGCTGGATCCATGCAGCTGCTGCCAGCCTCACACAAGCCACCCGCCTCTGCGTCCTTCCAGAGAGCCTTAGGAAAGCAGGGGGGCTAACCAGGGACAGATGGCTTACAAGGGTCCCGAAGGTGGGGGGACATGGCTGGGGTACACAGAACATGAGAGGAGGGGCACAGCTTGCACTTGGTAGAAAGGTTTCCCACCCATAGGAAGCCCAGGTGCATGATTTGGACCCCAGCCCCAGCTGTCCGGGCTGTCAATGCTGTGGGCCCGGTGTGCCTGGGAGGCTGGGTGAGTAGCCCTCCTAAAGACCATGGAGGAAAGGGAGAAGAGGGGCTTAGGAGGACCCTGAGTCTCTAGCTTGGCCCAGTTGTCTCTCCCCACCAGGTAGGGAGGATGCCCACCTTACTCGGCCCCTCCTCTCCCTGACACAGAGCAGCTGGAGCAACTGCATCCAGCCCACCCTTCCTGACTGGCCAGTCTCTGCTCTGTCAGTTTCCCAAGACCCCACAATGGACCCTAAAGATATGAACAGAATGCCATTGGTTCGTGAACTCTCAGGAGTCAAAGAGCCTCAAAGTGCACCACCCCTTCCCCCCATTCTTCCCCAATCCCCAGCCAGGGCTGTCTCCATAGTACAGCCACTGCCAAGACCTCCAGGAATGGGGTCTCACTGTGTCCTCTTGCTTATACCCTCTGACAGGCCTCTGGGCTACCTCAGCCAAGGCCATGTCCCACACAAGCCTCCAAGGACCCTAAGACATTTAGGTCCATCCTACTCTCCCCCTCCCCCAACACACACACATACATTGGCTTTGTCAGCCCTAGACCTTTTCCCATGGGTGGAAGGACACAGCATGGACAAGGAGTGACTTGTCCTCAATGGGCGCATGCCCTAGGAACTGGGACCAAAGCACTGCTTCACACTGCAGCTGTGGGTGCTCCAAGAGAAGGGAGAAGAGCAGGAAAGAAAGATACAGTGGCCAGAAAGTGGGGGTGCCCTGGCTTCCCTTCCCAGCCCTGCTACCCTTGAGCTTAGACGGTGATGGCCATTGGGCCTCTCCCTAGAGGAGTAAGAGCTTGGCTGTATCCTGGGTGCTGGGCCTTGGTCCCTGCCACCACAGAGGGCCTTCCTGGCAGCCTTGCCTGGGGCCCGCCTGCAGCAAAGGCATGCTAAGCTGCCTGTCCCCACTTCCACAGCCCCTGTCCCTCCTGCTCCTCTAGCCTGGGCTGGTGAACCTCTTTCTCTGTGCAGCACAGTGACCTGAGAGGTCAGGACAGCTGGTGTGACTCCTTGGAGCCCCCCTCCCAGGAGCAGACTTGAACTCAACAGGTCCAAGCACCAGAATGTCGCATTCATCACCAGGACCCCCTAAAGCCCAAACCCAGAGCCTCACCCTGAGTGGGGGTCAGGCAAGGACCCAAAGGCTGGGAGGTGCAGATCAGTGAGACCCACTCCTCCAGGAAACCTGCCCAGGCTGTACCACAGACCTCACCTCGCCAGGCTCTGGCATCCGATGTGAGAAGCAGAGGGAGGATTCTGATCCCTACCTTACCGTCAGCCAGCTGTGTGACTCAGACACACTCCCTGGTCCCCAGGTCTTTGTTTCTTAACTGTCAAATGGGGCAGGTGGGAGCACAGATGTGCCAGGGCTGTGGTGAGGCTCCCTTCACCTCTTGGGAAGTGATGGACCACAGACCACCTACATCTCCCAGCTTCCTTTTGGGTTAGGGAGGTGGCAAGGTCCAGTGGGAGACTGTAACCTGTCACTACCCTTACAAGCCACCTGTGAGCCACTGAACATGGTCATGCACTTGAGAACTTAAAGCCTGGAACCTCCCACAGAGCACTGGCACATGGCAGATGCCCATTGAGCTAGGCTGGCCTCTCTGTGGACACCTTGCCTCGCAGATTCTGTACATTTTGCTAATTTGGTTTCAGAGAATCTCTTTTTTTCTTGGAGACTTTGGGGCAGGACAGGAGAACTCCATGTGTTTCCCCTAAGTCCAAGAACTGATATGCATGTCCACATTTTCACGAGAAGATATC